TTCGGAATGTGTTTCGGGCGCATTTCTCAGACGATGAATTTAATGTTCGACCAGCTCTGAATACAAAATTCTGCGCCCGAGGTCTTAAATGGATAACGCGTGAGAAACGAGGAGCGGAACTGGACCCAGAATTTAAAGTTCTCTAAAGGATTTCTCACGCGAGACTTTTCATTGTTCCCAAGTGAGAAATATAATAAACCTCGTCCGCGGTTTTTTAAAAATCTCGCGCGAGAAATTTTGCGCCCGCCGTCGCCCGCCGTCGCCCACCGACAGTGCGCGACCAGCGCCCACACGATGCCCGCTTGGTGCGCGACCAGCGCCCGCTCGGCGCCCGGCTGAGACACGACCTACCGACTGAGCGAGGCAACGACCCTGCGCTCATTCGCCCGACACTCTTCGCCCGGGGACATCGTCGTCGTTCAACGTTCAACCCGGGCACTCTCCACCCACATCCTCCACCTCATGCGGTCATCGCCCGATATTGTTATACAAAGGGAAGTACGCCAATTACGAGACAGAAACGTGAAGGTACAGCATATCCAAAGATGAGCAGGGAAGAGGGAAGTAAATAGAGTGAAAAACATACAAAACATCGAACAGTACCCATATAAACGCACATATGCCGTCGCCTCTTTTTCCCGCCTGCCACCCTTCCTTCGCCCATCTCACACCTATTCCTAGTTTAGCCTTTCGTAGCCCCCTTCTCCGCCCACTCGAACATAATCCCATTTATTTCAAGCATCGCAGAGCTCGACGACATTTACATCAGGCCTGCCTCCGCGCCCGTCAACCTGCTCGGTGACGATGGGTCTGCGAAAGAGACTGTCGTCCTGGCCGCGGAGCGCAAGCACTCCGCCCACTCGAACATAATCCCATCCCGAGCTTGGGCAATTAAGCTCGGAGATTCGACCCAGGATCTCCCTTCGCGTGTTCGTCCCATCACATGTGTCTGCCCACTTTCATCTAGACGCAGCGCCACCGAATTCCAACGTGCGACCGCAACGCAATACTTGAACGACAACCATGCCGCTCCTAATATGCATTGGTTTTGACGCAACAAGGTGAGGCTTTGGTCAGGATAACCCTCGTAGGGGTCTCTCCATGTACCTGAGAGGCGGTTCCACGTGGCATAGCAGGCTGAGTAGTCGAAGACGTGCAGCCAAACATGATGCAGGTTGGGTAAAAGGTTCAGTGCTGTGAACAGAGCATCATGACCCTTGAAAAAATACACGGTTAATACTCAATGAGTGGACGAAGATCATGACAGACTTACGGAAAGAGTCGTCGCGATCATGTAACTATCGGACGACAACGTCGCCGCCAGAAACTCAAGGTGGGGAGCAGCATCCACCAGCCGGCTCCAGAAGGAGCAAGTGGATGACACACCGTCAGGTGTATCTATGCCGATCGCGATGCTTCTGGCTGGCACCCGACTGATGGCACCCAAAATATCATCGACATCACTCGCGGTACGGATCCACGCAGGTTGTGCGAAACGAGAAATATATTCATGGAGGCGTATGACTTCTAGTGCATGGTGGAATGAGAGGGCTACGAATGCTGATGTCGGTCCGGAGAACGATCGTAGTGCCGGAAACACGGCGAGCGAGCGTAATTCCGATTCTAGTGACGATGAGAAACTGTAGGCGGCCAAGGATAGATGCTGCATCGAGAGGAAGGCCGGAAGGATGGGATTCGACATATATTCAAGTTCTACGTAGGAAAGATGCGGGTGGGGGGTGCATTCCGGGAACAAGTCGGGGTCGTGTTTCTTCAGCAACAACTCCGAACAGGAAACGAAGCGGAGCGTTCTTAACTCCCTCGCAGCATGGATTAGAGCCAAAAGGGAATCGACGAGATAGGTGAAGCGATCAATGACGGTCGGCGTATTCCAAGAATTCATAGCAAGGTGCCGTACGGAGGGATAGATGACGAGCTGTTGGATGGATAGCAAAAATGGTCGACCGGAGCCTTCAAGCATGAATTGACAGAAGGTTATGGCCTTGTCACCAGAATGCTTGAGAATCACGGATCGGACGAGGATTGGGATGGAGAGTCGGTCGAACGCATGGCTGACAAGGCGGCATTGAGCCATGGTGGCGGGGTCTGTGAGTTGGATGATGGAGGCGAAAACGTCCGCGTTGAGAACGCAGGAAGACGTGGACTGATGGAACTGGAGACAACGTTGGCGAGTGGCCACCGACAATGACTGGAGACTCATTGCAAGCTGTGGGGGAAATGCGGGACGAAGAGGCGTTCATTATATAGGCAGCCTATGATCTTTGGTCCCTTTGTCTACAGCTCTCCATTGAACATACACTACATTGAGGCGAACAATCGATCGGCAAAATTTGGAGGTGAGCCGCACGATGCGTCGCTCGTGGGCCGCTCAGAACAAAGCAAGAGAACGGACAACGGACAATATTCGGGTGCTTGTGCGTAAACGTGAAATCTTCTGGGGGACGCGCAGACAGGGACGCAATGCTGACGACCCAAATATGTCGAGCCCACATATGTACAAGCGGGGGCACTGGTATGAGGCCTGCGATCGTGGTTGTGGAGACTGTCAATGGCACAAAAGATAGGATTTATCAAGCCTTTGCGTGGGCGATGACGCAAGACGGTGCTTCGGACACGGTGAGATCATCGAGCGAGGCCCAGGGCCCCCAGTCGACAATCCGGAAGCTGCTTCGCGGATTGGACTTTCGGGGTGGGCCACTGGCTAGAACCGAATCCTATTGAGTACAAGAAGTTCGATGATGGGGATGGTCAGTAAGACGACAAAAATGGCGTCGGCCAACGGAGACGAACCTTCAAGATGGTGAATGTACCACGGGCGGAGAGAGCAGGGTCGTCGAGGAGAGAGCTGGCCAGGAAGAGGACGGCTCCGGAATGACGCCGAGAACAGAATGATAGATGTCGTCCGGGAAGACTAGTCTTCCTGATGCTCAAATCTTCGATGTCGAGGGTGGTCAATCGAACATGCCGCGATGAACCGCGGAGACCATGTTCAAGTCCAAAAGTCGCAACCCGGAAGCTGCTTCGCGGGTTGGGCTTCTGACTGAGCTTTCGAGAACTGAAATTTCTGTGAACAATGAAAGCGGTCAGCACGTTCAATAAGACAAAGCGTACAGTATCGGCAGCTGAATGGGACGAACCTCTGGAACGAGCAGGAGGCTCGACCGTTCCTTCGATCCTTTTCCAAAGCTAAACAGGAGAAGCGATATTATCGAGGGGATATATCGAAGTGGTCAGCCTTCCACACGTCTGGACTAAGCTATCTCTTCAGGGAACATAGTCCCTGCGCCAACGGCTCTGGCCAGACGGGGTGTAGGTGAGGGTAACGTAGGGAGGACACCATCCGAGTCGACACTGAGGTAGCAGTAGAGAGACAATAGACAGGGATCACCAGTAGAGTAAAACCACGCGTTGACGAAGCTCCGACGCCGCCGCCACGACGACGACGACGACGACGTCGGTTGAAAGACGCGTCCACGCCTTGTGCACTGCCCGATGAATGTGACAATGTGACAAGAACCGCCGACGTCGCCCGCTGTCACACGTGCCACAGTGGCCCCAGTCCCGTTCACGAGTCGCTCCTCACACAAATGATAACCCATCGACAAACTTATGTATTCGGGTACATGGTACAGGAAATATCTGCCACGAAAAACCAAGTCCTAGTCCGTTCGACACATCGCAGAAGCAGAAACTCGAGCAACACCAATGGACTAACAACCATCCTACTCGCGCACGATCGGAAGCTTGAACTTCTCCTCTGTCGGGCCCAGCTCCATCAGCTTGTATTCTGACAGTCCCTTCATCCACCTCTTGTCATACAGCGTCTTCGGCAAACGAGGCACCGGAGCGCTGAAAGAGACAGTTGTGCTGCTTCGCAACCGTGGAACCGGTCTCGCACCCGCGCCCTGGAACAGCTCCGGGTGGTCTGTGTAGACTTTGTCCACGAGCATCAGCTCCTTGTTCATCTCCCTCCTCCATGCCACGAGACGAACGCGGTACACGAAAATGCCGTTCTCAGAGCTGCTTTCGTCCGAGCTCATGCCGTCCTTAGTGAGCTTCATGATGAGCGATCCGAGTTTCTCCCACAACTCCAAGGCCTGGTTATCACCGTTCTCTCGGTGCTGTGTGAGCATAGCCATGATCGCCGCCAACCTGTGTTCAAATTTCTGAAGAATATGCTCAGTATACTTCGTCTAGCGTGTATGCGGATGAGACTTACCCTGTTCTTCCGGCCATTCTTTCGAGCGAAATCCTTCTTGCACTTGTACTTTGTCGTCCAACGAGCCTGCGCCTCCTTCTCGGTCTCGTACTCCACGCTGTTCGGTTTCAGTTGAGGCCTGTAGAACTTCCAGGCGTCGAAGAAATGGCGCAGGCGCTCCCTCACGGTTTTTTCAAAGTAGCCTTGGCCCTTCTCCGGCTCCCTTCGATTAGGCTTGTACGAGGCCAAACGTGCTTGGTGAGCGAGCAGCGTGATTGCCGCCTTGTTCCAAGGGGAAGTGAGGCCTCCAGGGAGGTCGAGAAGGAGGCCGTTCTTCTTGAGCACAGGTCCTTGATGCTTTCCGTCTTTGAACGCTTGCACAGACATGGGGTCGATCCAGTTCATGTCGGGTACGAATCGCTCCTTCTTGATGCCCGTGTATTTGCAAACGATCGCGCGAACTGTGGCCTGGAGACGATTCAGAGCAGTACGTCAGAAGCAGATCGGCAGATATGAGACTTATACACCATACGCACCAGGTGAGCTTTGCGCTGAGTACGTCCAACGTCGTCTTCTTCTTCATCCTCATCGTCTCCATCTTCCAGCCCATCATCCTCATCCTCCTCCTCCTCGTCCTCGTCCTCCTCGTCCTCCTCCTCGTCCTCCACATCCACATCCATATTTCTATTCTGTTCCTCATCGTCCTCGTCCTCGTCCTCGTCTGTTTCAACATGGACCGTAGCCTTCCGACTCCCTGTCGCTCTCATCGGACGCCCTTGACTAGTTCGCTTCCTGCGGCTGCGGCTGTGGTCTTCATCCTCATCGCTGTCTTCGTCTCTACGCCGACGATTCCTGCTTCCCCGAGTCGGTAGGGGGGACATTGCTGCCTTTGCTATCTTTGCCCAATCAGACTGCCGCCTCACAGGACTTTCCAAAACGATATTAGACGCTTTTATTGGCGTTCTGTTCTGTTCCACACGTCTATCCCTCGGCCGCGTAGGAGTGGTTGGCTCGTTGCTTCTTGTTCGTGAGTGTGACGTCGATGGATTTGCTCCGCTCAAAGGAACGTCAGAAGCGTCCTGTGGATCAACATCCATCTCCTACAGATCATAGTAAGTCAGCGAAGGAGCAAGGAAACTCTCGCGCAGAGAGGCGGGAATGCCAATACTGCCGTATGACTCCGGTTGAACTGACCGATGTACGCTTGGACAACTTGCTCTTCACCTTGTCGATATCGGACTCCAGGGTTGATCGAGCGGCCTCTTGGAAGAGAAGCTCGAGCTACACAATATTAATCCTATATCACGCAGGACTACTCGGGACTCACCTGATTCTCCCGGTACTCGTTTTCGAGAGCAGAGACTTCGTTGCGTACGGCGTCTACTTCTCCAGGAAGCGATGAGGGTCCAGCCCGGTTAACTTCATCCTTTACTTCACTGTCAAGATCAAAGCATACCTCGCAATAACAAGAACGACGTACCTTCAGGCTGTCCAGCTTCGATTGCAATGCGTAGATCACATCCGAAAGCTGCGAGGAGTCAAGATAGATGGTCTGATCCGTATTACTTGCCGTTAGCCAAGTCCAAAAGAAGACAAAAAATAGATGCACGTTTAAACCCTCTTCAGAAGAACGAACGTCCTCTTTCAGCTCCTGAACGATCTTCCTAGCTTCGCCGAGCTCTTGATCCTGATGCTACCCTTATCAGGGGATGTGAGGTGACTGCAAGGGACTAGGCAAACGTACTCGGCGGGCTTCAAGCGATGCCAAATCTCTGCGAAGTGTTGCCGTGCTCGCTGTGACGTCCTGATAGTACATTCATATGCGCCCGACGTGAGCGCATAAAAAACACAAGTATTCAAAACGAGTTGTCACCTTGATCTGGGATTCTGTCGTGCCTATCTCTTCCATATATTGCTTCGTCTTCGTCTCAAGCGCATGCACGGTATCTGCAGCTTCCTTCATCTGCTCTCGCTTCGAAGCGCACATCTGCTTGACAGCGTGCAGGCGGGCCTGAACGAAGTCATTCAGAGTTCCATGACATGAGACAGAAGGAAACGAAACAAACTTGAAGCGAGGCAATATCTCCTCTCGCTTTCTATGGAGCCGTCAGAGTCCCACACCCGAGAACATCAGATGAAGAACTGACCTCATCGACTCGTTCTTGGGTCTCCCTCGCTTGGTTTATCTTTTCCTGTAATTTCAACCGCGCTTGGGATAGCTCTTTCCGTTCGGCCTGGAAAGAAATCTTTGAGTAAGGCTCGACTAATAGACTTGTGGGATTGAATACCTCCAGCATCTGTATCCCTGCCTCGATATTGTCTGCAGTTTCTCGAGCTTGCTTAGCAGCAGCGGCCTCTATCTATCGGAATAAGTACAATATCAACGATGACTAGTTATTTTCGAGGGCGATCATGTAACGAAACACAAACCCGCAAAGGACCGTTCACTAAAGCAGCCTTCTCAGACTGCGCCATCTCAGTCTCTTTTCTTCGCTCTTCCCCCTGACGGCGAGCATTGCTCAACCGTGCCTGCGAGCACTTTGTCAGCTATGATGACAGGAACTAACATGGCGATCTACCTCTGTCTCTTGTCGGAGATCCTTTGAAGTGCTCATTAAGTTGGTGGCGTGTTTCAAATGTGTTACTTCTTCATCCAGCCGAACCTTCTCCGCCTATGATAGTATGAGTAGTCTCTAGCGTCATGGTGAGAGAAAACACTGCAATAAACTACCTTCAACTCATTGTCCTCACGCGCTATCTTGTCGTGCATGACTTTCAACTCCTCTATGTTGGTCTTTTGAGCCTGGCCCGGATAGAAGAGGCTTAGTAAGACGCGAGCGAAATGTGACGAGAAGGAAGGAGAGACTGTTTGAAGTGCTCACATGAAGTTTTGCTTCTTCGGTGTTGACATTCGCTTGAAGGTTCTATGGGCTATTTCGGACCTTGCCCGTATACGACTAACAGGCAAAGACGCACCTCTAACTGAGCTCTCATTTGAAGGAGAGTCTCGTCGGCCTGTAGCAAGAGCAGCGTCAGCTGCTGAAGAGTGAAGAAGAACTTCATGTGACTTACCGGCTTCGCAGAGCTCAACTCCTCGACCTCTTTCGACAGAGCTATACTTTCAAGGGAAAATCGAAAGCGACCATCCTTCTGAGCAAGTAGAAGATTGTCTAGTTCGTCTTGCAGGCGAAGACAGTCTTCACACCCGTTCTCGAGCTCTGAGGTCAGAATCTCGTCTTCTAAGGTATCGATAGAGTTTTCAAGACTATGCTTCGTCGCAAGAAGACTGTTGACAAACGCAGTCTGACTTGTAAATAAGGCGGACTGGGCAGAGGGGAACGTTTCACGCGTCTGCAAGCGTTTCTGAGTGGAGCTCAAATCTTTTCGAGCCTCTCTGAGCAAATCATTGACGGTGGTCTGGCGGGATTTGGCCCTTTCTAGACTGGCGTAAGCCTGTCGCACCCGATCGGCGAGTTGTCCTGTGTAAGCCTTGGACGATATTGTTCAAATGCGGAAGTCGTTAACTTGAAAGGACAAGACAGCATACCAGTTTAACATCGCCATCTTCCAGCCGTCGTACTGTTGAGAATGTCTCCGCGCCTTCTTCCGGGTCATGCTCTATGCTGCGTTCCCTTTTCGCTCCGGCCACGGGCTGAGGTGGTGATCCCGGAAATCCGAAGTCCTGGCGAGGCCCAGGAGGCTGCGGACAACTCTTAGTTTAAACGTGGACCGAAGTGGTGGTATTAAGGACGTACCGGTGTTACACTCGCGTAGGTGTCGGGTATATGAATATTGTCTGTGTCCATGTTTGCGTGTAGAAATCGTCTTGAGCGGATAACTAAAGGGGTGTGGGTCTTTATAGAGTGGGTGGGCACCGTGAACCCCCACAAAGACAACAACGATCGAAAAAACACAAAACGCATGAATCCGGATGCGACTATCTTACGGTATTGTAGAGAAAAGGTTTGACGTTGCCTGAAGCAGCCGAACAATTGTTGGAGTGAACAAAGCAATACTTTCAAAGGGTAAGAGGGCATTGGACAATGAGCAAAATCATTCGAGCATCCGAACGAAAATGTTACCCAATAGGTCGCCGTGTGCCAGTGACGTAAATCGATCTCCTTGGGCTGACCCAGGCGTCAACTTGCCAAATAGGTACACAAAGTGTTGCGACGTAACAAAGTACTTTCTGGCCCGTCAAAGAACTTGTACCAGCCACAAAACATCATCAACCATAAGAAGCGCTGCTAACGCTAACCGCATCGTTTCCTCATGCGATTTCCTTTAGTTCTTGAGGCTGAGGGAATCATACGAAAAGAAATTGAGTCGAAAAGCATTGTGCGCTAAAAATGACGACGCCCGAGGGTGCGAATTTCGTGCTCACCCTGTTCAGAGTCATTGTTCTACAGCATAGTTGAAAGAACAAAACATTTTTTCTTCTTTTTTCCTAGGGTGAGGCGTGGGGAGGGTCAATATAAAAGGAAGGATATATCCACGTCGAAACGTACACTATCAGGCTCACATCAGCTCAAACATGCCACCCACCGAGGGCTCAAAGACGACATCCATGACCGGCTCCTCTGATAAAGTCTTCCCTGCCGCACCACTCATCTGCCAGAAGTCGCCTTCAATGAAATTGCCGCTAGCATGTACCCACCTCAGCCATTGCAGTCCAGTCCAGCGAGCGACATATTTGCACCAAACCCTGCCGATAGGTTCTTATTCTGGTCCCGTCCGCTCCCGCAAAGTCGACCCACTCAGGCTGTACCCTGGGCCGTATCCTAAACCACCAACGTTGCAGGACCAACATCCAGAGACTACTCAAGCTCGAGCCGATGAAGAAGACGAAGACGAAGACGATGCAGAGCCCAGAGGCACGGACGGAGAGCCATCCGGGGAAGAACCGGGGCAAGACATCGAGCCAGCCGGCAACGGCGAAGACAATCGAGGTCACATCCCAAAACCGCAGGGGGAAAACGGACGTCCAGGGAGAGGAGGTTATAGCGTAAGACAAAGAGTTCAGTATCATTCCAGAACCTGGGAGAAGATTGAGGCAAGTGTATCACCTCCGGGTGCCGACGAACTGATTGTCTGACGCCTGTCTGGATAGTCCTATATCAAGCAGGAGTGCGACCTAAAGTTGAATGTCAAGAAGACGATAACTGGTCAGAATCCCGCACTCGTACAAGAGGTGGTGGAAGAGGTCAGTGCGATAATCTAAAGGTTTGATCACAAACTCACAGCTTGCGGATTTTCTCAGGTTCGTGCACGCCATCCATCGTTGGATGACTACGAGGATCATTGGCCGGTCCACGACGTCATCAAGGCGCACTTGAAATATACGTCCAGCCGTGCCAGGGTAAGCCTTTCTAACTCGTTGAAAAGGCGCAAACCCAAGATATAACAGGTTCATCGCCAGAAGCAGAAGGTGTGAAGGACCTACCGTACTAGCTCAGTACCTGTGTCCAAATGGTGTGACTTGTAGACAGCGCTTCTAGAACTTTATGCGATTATAAATCCCCGCTTCCTCAGCAAACATACATGCCCATCAGGAACAAAATGACTGCTACGATGACGATATATATTTAGAAAGAAACAGACCACATGCACCTAACATCACCGAGGGCGTCATTATGAGCGTACCAATGCGATCCGCGATCTTGCGTTTGACATACCTACGTCTTGAGCTCTCCGTCTTAAGAAAGAACCTGAGATATGGTACGAGTGATATGGCACACCACAAAGAGAAACATCTGTGGAGAAATATTGAGGTAAACATGGCATTCGTACAAGGAAGTGTGAAGGCACGCTACCTGTCCGCGCATTTATTTCTGCGGATCAGCTCATCATTCCTCCATACGATCGTCAACCTTATCCTTGCCCGGGTCACCAGAGATATCCGTTTCGGCTGGGGATCCACTGATATGGATAACGTTCAAGCGAGACCAACCCGACATACGTGAAGCAAACTCGCCGACCCATGCTTCAGACCCGGGCCCGTCCAGTTTTCTTCGCGAAGATTTGGCAGCGAGGCGCAGCTGACGTATCCATCCTCCAGACTGAACAAAAACATTCTCAGGGGGCCTACGGCCCGCTTGGACTTCTTGAGCCGTCGAACGTATCTCGTTTAACCGTTCCACGAACCATTTCTCGCACCACCGCGACCATTCGCCATTCCAAACACGTCCAACGAACAGCTCCTCGTTGGTAGGCCAGAGAGACCGACCAGACGGATGACGGCCTGTAAGAGCATTGATCTCTACTCGCGATAACTGATCGCTTGAGGTGGGAACGGCTCTCGCATGGGCCCTGCCCCTGCGATAGTGAGTAGTAACTATCGATGGGCCTCGAACGGCTTCGCGAAGGAGGCCGGCAGGTCCGAACTCAATCGCCAATCGCCATAGGACTCCACCACTGACCAGAGCACGCACGGCGTGCGGACGACGGAGCACCTCTGCTAGTGCCCAAGACCAAGAGTCGACGATGTTGCCTGTATGATGATTCCACCATTGAGTGACGGGATCTGTCTGCATCCAAGATAAAGGCGGTGGGACTCGGTCTAACGACGTCACGAGTGCGGTGGGCACTGCCCATTCAAACGGTATGCCGTGCCCAAAGAGATATAAAACAAATTCTTCCCATGCATGCCACCCTACACGATGCCTCCATACCGCAGCGCGTAAGATTCCATGGCCTGTGAGATAGATGAAGCCTTCCATCGAGGGACGTAGTCGATGAGGCAATTCCAGTGGTGCTCGATCTCCACGAATGAGGGTTACACTGGCGTCAGTACTGACAAGTTCCTGCACCGAGGGATCGTTCGCTATCGCTTCCGTCCAGGGCCAGGGTTGGTTCTCGTCTCCACGCAGCAACTGTTCCGATAGCTCGACAGATGCTAAAGTGTGATGCACAGGGCTTGCAGGCCTGGCGATGGTACGATCGACGTCCAGGGGAGCCGGCGACCGGGATTGTAAGGTCTCAGACATCTCCCGAGTCATAGGGCGACCGTCTGGCTCTAGTCCGAACGTCCGGGATGGCGAAAGAGAGGCAGACCCTGACGCGTTTTCGAGTACTGTTTCTCGTTCCATGGATCTTGCCGAACAACTTTCTCCGAAATGACTGTAGTGCATCGCACTTGTTGTTTCCACCGTCCTCTGAACAGCCGGCCGAGGAGGTCCATTCTGCCTTGTATCTGGGTGATGCGAACGAGATGGGGCGACATCGTGATCTGGAGGTGGGAAAGTAGATGAAGGCTGATATCTGTGGAGACGAGGACGAATTCGTTCCATATCACCGCTATGAAAGCGACGCGAGTGCCCCACCTCTGATGATCGAGAAGGTCGACGAGCGGAGTGACTGGGCCGGTAAGAGTCGTATAAGGGACGGTGGTAGGATCGACGCGGCTCAAGAGGATTGTTGGACCTTCGTCGAGGACCTGCTGGTGAGATCGTCCGGGGGAAATAGTGATTGCCCGGGCCCGATGAAGATTCACCAGCTGCAGTGTTACGATTGAGATTTCGCAGCGAGTCAGTCTGAGCCCATTGAAACTGCCGCTGTTCCATCTCTAGGCTTTGCGTAAGGCGAGCGTCCTCGTTTGATAAGGTAGACCTCTGCGCGATAGGTAGAAGACCCGAAGCCTTCTGCTTGCCCTTTGCTGACGTAGGTAAGGTTTCCGCTGTATTGTCCGTAGGTGAGGAACCGTGAAAGCAACCGAAGGATCTATGTACCTCCTCTTCCTGCACTGGAGTCTGTTCCTCCTCAACTCCAGCCCGAGGCGAGTTGGGTGCAGTCGACGGCTCATAGTCCACCTTCTCATCCTGCTCGTCCTCCACCGGAGTCGGCTCCTCCTGAACTCCGGCCCGAGGCGAATTAGGTGCAGTCGACGGCTCATAGTCCACCTTCTCATCCTCCTCGTCAATGGGCTGTCTGGAATATTCGTGGATAACGACACTATCTCTCACACCCTGCATCGGTACCTGTTCATCCACATCGACTGCGTCCTCACACCCTGCTGTTACCTGTTCCAACGGAGGATATCCGCGGTCAACAGAGGCATCAGCGTATTCCTCACTGGAGTCAGGGATTTCCGGCTTCTCCTGTCCTCGATAAGCCCGAGGGGGAAGGATAAAACCACCTATTCGCGGGCCGGGCCAATCTCGTCGAAATTCGAAATGAATAACCTTTGAGATATCGCGGTGGGGTAGGAGTGTAGCATAACGGAAATCGTCCGCCGAAAACCCTCCACTCGCACCTGCTACTCGAGTTGAGTCGCAACGAGAAAAGAGCAGAAGCAAATCGAACCGGCCCCGTCCGTTTCCCCATTTCTGTTGATCGTAACGGTCATTGTGATTACGGCGAGCAAGGTCTCGAGATAGACTAGAGGGCGTGAGTAGCGGCGGCGCAGGCCAGTCAAAATCTGGGACTGGATCCGTGCCGGGTGGTGGTGGAGATCCCATTTGCGCAATGGGTGACGATGCTCTAGAATTGGATAGCGAACTGGGCGCTGCTCGGGGAGCAACGTGTACGGGGGAGGGCGATCGGCCAAATCGACCGGCAAACGGAATATTTCCAAGGTTGGGGCCAATGTTTCCTAGAGGTGGGTAAAAGCGCATGTCTCGCGATAGTAACCAGTCCATCCGGATTCCTCTGCGCAAAAACCAGGAAACATTGGGCCACCGTCTGTCCGGCAATCCTCCCCAGTCTACTACAGCTCCGATACACGGGTGCCTGAAGAGGTCTTCTCCGTCGATGAATGCGGCCCAGTCCCATTGCAACGGAAGAGGGGTACGAGGCCAGCGTTCCGAGCTTATCGAACTAAAAGCCCAACGTATCAGTCCCTGCCAACCCCAGACGAGGAGTTGCAGATGACATAAGCGCCGTACATGATCCATCGCGTCTCGAGGCTGCGCGAACAGGCGAGGAGATTCTAGGAGATCCATCGGCGGCGCGCAGCGGGCAATGTCGAAGTAAGAGATGATGGCCTGACAAATTGCTTGATAACGTTGGACGCGTGAGTATAGAGCGTCAGCGGTGCCCGAAGCTAACCGGGTCATGTAAGGCTGGTCGACAGAACTGGCTAGAGCCTCGGCAGGCAGCCAGTTCGAATTGACATAGGGGAGGATACAAATCCGCCGGCGGTCGGCTTCTGTGATTGGGGCAGGACGGTAAATGGTGTAAGGGGTCTCGATGTTAAACCAGCCTCTCGTGAAAAGCATGGTATAATTTGAAGGATGATGCTGTATAGGCTCCACTCCTGGAATCATCGCCGCGCTGGACCAGGGCTCTGCGTCAGCCGTAATTATGTCGCCGTAGTCGCTCTGCGCGTAGGCATAAGTCCAAGATAGGCTGTAATCATCAGAGCGGGCTACGAGAGTCTGTGTATAGTCTGGAGAAACAATTGATCCTTCCATCGCCTTCCACACGTCTCCTTTGTGAGGAACTTGCTCATCGTGGGATACAGCGTTGCGCTCAAGATTTTGCGTTCGAGGAGCCATATCGATCGAGAAGATACGCCTGACGGGATTGACATGCTTAGCTATTTGGATAAATGTTGGGAATGTAGGAGCCAGTACCTCGCGAAGCTACCTCGGCAAAGTTGAAAGGATTGCCAGTGACTAGGCCGACACTCGTGAAGCTGCTTCGACGAGTGCAGATGGTAGGTAGGTCAAAAGCTAAGCAGTTGATTGATTATCAGGAGAAAACTAAGCCAACTCGTGAAGCTGCTTCGACGAGCGTGGGCGGTGTTCAAACGTTCAAGAGCGAAGCAGTTGCCAGCTGGGACGCGGAAGCAAACTCAGGTGCCCCACGTGGAATTTCAATGCCCGCAGGAGAGTGCCGAATTCAGAGACGACTTCTCCTGATTTCGGAGCTCGAACGACAGTGTATGTCTGGACTCTGCACTGTTTGGCGGACGCTTTCCGGGCAAAACGCAAATGCGAAAGCTCACAGTGTCAACAAAAGCTATATACGAGACGCGTATGATGTAATTTACGGTATATATGGCCAAGAGCGTGTTTGAGTGCTCGCGAATAAATTCCATCCTACTTATTGCTACGCTGTCTCACAATTACACTACATGGCGATGCCGAGTACCATACGATAGATTTCCGGGTCAAAGCACAGGTGAACTCGGTTCCGTTACACTAGCGACCGGTAATGTAACGCAAGTATTTTTCTCTAACTCCATACATGCCCTGGCTGCGAGTTTGTCCTGTTCGCTCCTCCCACCTTCTCTGAATCCAGTCGCCTACATTTAACATCACTCTGTTCATCGTCGGGACGATATCCGGTCGATGTAGGACTACCATCTTGAACAGGCCGTAAGATTACACCGAAAATGAACGAGGAGAAAGCTTTACTTACCGAGTAAGTATTTTGTACGACAAAGGCCGACGCCGCGACGATCAGCGTCCAGCGAAGGGTGCGCTTTCCGACTGAACGCATGGGCGATGAGCTTCTCTTCGAGCCTAAACCATTGCATGGTGCCTCGATCCTGGTCTTATGCTCCCATACCGATATAAAACTTGCCTTGCCTTCAGTCGAATCAGCGGCAATAATCCAAGAGCTTCCCCCAAAAGAGGAAGTCTGGCAACCATAGTCATCAGAGTAATTCGTCTCTAGTCAAGGGTGGACTCACTGTTATAGTATAGACAGAAGCACCTTTCGAGTGCTGGAGAACGGAAAGTTCTGATCCGCTGGTCGTATCGAAGACATAGATATTCCCATCCTCATCCCCACCGACGACCGCTCTGCCGTTCTCAGCGAAGGCCACCTGCTTCGGATAACGGAATTTCGTTTCATTCGTGAGGAAGCTTCTGACCCAGTGGCAGTTGGACAGCTCAAAGAGGTCAAGACCATCCCAGGTATTATCCACGACAAATGACGATTGGCACGGATTGACAGCGACGCCTCCACTTCAAACCATCTACGTTAGCAAGTAGGCAGAGAGGCAAATCAATTGGGCGCACATACATAATCGATCTACCGATGACTTGGCGGGTGAGAAGGTCGCCAGAGCCACTCTGCAAGATCAAGCTGAATACGGCGTTTAGCAAACGCAATGATCGTGGACGGGAAGGAAAGAACAAAATAAAGCCATACATGCTTCCACACCGAAGACCAAAAACCCTCAATGTAGTCCCGTCTGTGCTGAAACACAGCGCACGGGGAACAATATCTAGTTGCAGGGAGAACTTTCCTTCCATGCTATTGTCTCCCCTGAGAAGCCATACTTGGAGTATCCCGTCCAAAGCGGCGACAGCGACGAGAAATGAGCCATCATTGTCCTTTGTTGTCGTTAAACTCGTGATCTCTCCGCCGTTACCAATGCAACGTCCAAAGCCCTCTTCCGCAGTGTCACACTGTAAAGGCCTTAGAAAGGTCGATTATCAGAGAATGAAAAGGCGAACTCACCCCTTCTCGTTTCAGCCATGAACCTAGATAGCCTGATGCCGTTCCATAGAGTAGGACATCACAGTCGTGTGCAACAGGAACCCACGTTAATGCAGAGACTGTGCCACGAAGTGCAGAATCGGCATGAGGCGCTAGAATGGGTGTTCCAGTGGGTAATTGCCAAACTCTGATCCCGTCATATCCTGTGGAATGCATTCGTCAGTACGTTCGCTCTAGCTCTACAAGATGAGGGTAGACTCACCGGCACTAGCAAGAATATTATGCTCAGAGACGGACAGAGCCAATACAGCGTCCTCATGACCTTCGAGGCGTCGAGTAAGAGTATATCGCGATGAACGTCGCCTCAAAAACGACCAGAAAGATCGCAGCGTACCCCACATCACGAACGAGTGGCTATTGAGTGCAGAAGTGTACGAGCAACAGAATAGCTCGAAATGAACATCTTTTATAGAGATCACATAGGAGTACAAAGCTGTGATTGCCAAACGACTCAACAAAAGCCTAACGTTAACAAAGGAACGTTGAACGTACGGGGAGGCCTAGGAGAGCCGGCTGTGACTTAGGCGCTCAAGCCACTGGTCAGTTTGATACACGAAGATGGCACATAATAAGCAGGATTTCTTCGGCATCTATGTCGTTTCCCCCACTGAGCAGGCAGAGGTAGAGGGTACGTCGGATGTGTAGGAACGGGTGAAAGGGGCGAAAAGCATGGAAGAATCGAAACGTACTTTCATGATCAGTGGCCCTTCGTTCCAACAAACCGTCGTTCGGACAGTGCGAAAAACAGACCCAATTCCCTATCGTTTTCCCCCGTTCAAGTTCTCCTAAATCATGTTAAATCACCGCTAGACTATATGCAAAGTCATTTGAGTACAATAATGTCAGCGGGAGGTCGAACGATGAGGGGGCGTTTCGGACACTTTGGCGGGCGCGGCCGTCCGATCAACGGCCCCGCCTCTCGATCGACGACCTTTCTCTCAGGAAGTTTACAACAAAACCACATAAGCATGGAGCTACAGTAGGGGGCATTATGCGTGCTAAGTTTCACGGCAAGAGATCGTGTATTGCATGAGCTAGAGTTTTGCAGCCCGGAGTGACACACGGAATGGTAAATGGAGGCGCGGTGGCAAGCCCGAATCGCCCGAATCGCGACACTTTCGCACCTGCTTCGAGGCTCTCCTCTTGCTCTCCTCCACCTCCGACGACAACCCCTCGCGATCCACTACCTTCTTTTCTGCCGGACTTTCGATAGTCGTTGTGAGTCGCACTACCCCTCTTCATCCCGGATGTACAAGATCAAAACGGCGATCGTCCTCGGTTGTCTTGTCTAGAGCTTGCACTAAGAGCTCCCCAGCCTGTGCTCAACATGGACCCCACCCTAGTACATTTTCGCATCTCGCTCATGTTGGCGCCTACAACTGGTGTAGGTTTTGCTAGGATAAGATTCAAATAAGTAAAGATAAGTAAGCCTTACTATCGTATGCTCTTAGCTCGCTTTTCCTGCCTGTCGCTTACTGTGCAATGCTATTTATCCTCACCCATTGCACTACCCTTCCTACCCCCAAGCCAACATGTCTTTATTACCATCTTTAGTCACGTTCCATGAGATGTCTCTCATGTTCTCATCCCTGTATGTACTTCCAGACCCTAAGTATATCTGCTCATGCCACTCACCCATATCTTTCCATCTCCTTCTATACATCGCTCAGCGCTCCATCACCCCAAAACCACCATTATAATTACCTATAGATTACCTTATATAACCCCACACCAGTTTTTACCTTTCAATATGCCCTGCTTCTTATGGAGATACTATTTTCATGTATTTACTTTGGGCTACACACGAAGAAATGCCGAAAAATGAGTCTATCTGCGGTCCCAATATCCACATCTGAAGTGGTATACATGCTAGGAGGACTATTTACATGAGATACAGCAGAGGAAGCTAAGGTAAACATATAGATTTGAGTGAGATAATCACACTCACTGTCAAGCACGGCGCTGACGAGCGAGAGCAGATGCACGTGCCAGTTACGGAACGACGCAGTGGCTGACGCGCGGTGGGCGCCTTTCTACAGTGTCCGTGCGCGTTGGGAGGAATTGCTGGGAGCGCGGGTTAGGGTTGACAGTAGGTATTTATCCCTGTCAAGATACGATTGCAGGATGCTTTGGAAAGACGACCACGGGGATGAGATTTCAGCGCTTGGGAAGGCATTAGACAAGCGGGCAGACTAGAAGGCGAGACCTTCAACACCGTTGCCCATCGGTGTTAGCCTGGCATGCAGCTCTACCCTTCACTATCAGGACAAGGACTTTACTCACCGTAACAGTGTCCTCAAGCCAGTCATCTTCGTCGTCTGACACACGCGTCTCAGTTTCGGATCGCCGGATGAATACGATTCACACAGCCTGACTACAGATGCACCACATTCCGTGAACATTCTCGTCCTTGGCGAAGACCCAAGGCAGTCGGAACTGAAGCGGTTCGCATCGTCAGCGGAGGCAGTCGCCAGCCATCGAACCTAGCCTTACAAGCACTGACCCATTAGAAAAGACAGAGCAGAACGAAAATGCACAGCCTTCCAATACATACAAGCGGGCGAGACAAGACGGAGCGCACAAAGCTGGTCAAAACGTAGATACATGAACTTCCCAATACATGCGGTGAGAGACAAGAGATTCAAAGGTGGACACTAAGTGAACTGGGGGAGGCTGGGTGGCTGACAAAAAGAGGACAGAAAAGTAAAGCTGGAAGAACGTCTGAAAAGGCTGGAAGGTAGGTCCGAGAAGGAGTAAGACAGGAGGTACTGCAGGATCAATCGGCATAAACGTGACGAGTCGGAAGACTGACGGGAAGAAATTTCGTCAACGACGGCGGATTATAAGATAGACCTGCTGAGGAGAACTTGGAATGTCTAGAAATACGGGGGAACGGGCTGTGGAAGATGGAAAGTCATATCGCAATAAGGTCTGGTAGGAATCTGGAAAAGAAAAGGGGGACATCCATCGCGTATGAGCGCGAGCCGCGAGCCCTCGGGTGCGCTGTATCTCTCTTGTCCTGGAAGTACCTCCCGGATTCCAAAGTTAGTCTCCCAAGGAAGCAGCTGCCCACCGGGCATGAAAGTACCCGGCAACGGGACGAAGGTGAACTTCCAAGCCTTCGGAGTGTTGACGACTTCTCCACGACGAGCGCGGCTGACAAGATCAAGACAGTATTGCCCAAGGTCCCTCATGCCGCCCTCCCAAATGCGTATCGCAAGATCTGAGTTCGGAATGTTATAGACCATGACCTCATCTACACCCGGTCTCGGTTTACGCTGTCGGATCGACCAATCAGCTGTCGCGCATATGATAACGTGGATAACGCTACGTACCCCTCTGGACGGTAAATGACCACCACATCTGTCAAGTAAATCCTGAACAACCTTGTTGTGATCCGCCATATACTTTTCAAGGGTATCCTCGTTCGCGCCCATAGCGAACATGTCTGCCCTGAGCAACTCTTGAGACATGGGGATGTAGGAGGGGTCTTCAGAGGCCGCGTACGCATCGAGCGTGCTGTGGAGAACAGGAAGAGGACGCCCGTTGGATTGCGTTTCGCGGAGAGGCGGATACGTTGGGCGAACATAGGTAAAGAAGGGGTCTAAAGTGTCGTTGGCGTTGAAACGGCTCGTAAACTCATAGTATGGGTTGCGACGATACGGGTTGTAATTGGATCGGGCTTGGGAACGTTTGCCTTTGCCACGGCGCTGATACTGGGACTTCAATCCTGTCAGATAGATAGAACGCTGGGAAGTGGGCATACTGACGTACCTGGGGCATGTTGTTGGATCGGTTGGCCATTTGTGCTGGTGGGGCGATCGATGAGCTTTCGTAGATGATGGTTGGAACGAACTACGCTTGTCGCTAGATCCGAAGGAATTACGAATTGATAAGGCTTGCGTTGTGTCACGCAGTCACACTTTCTCCCAGGAGGTTTTGGTTTTTAAACCCCGTCAATCGATCACCCCTGTTCCCCCAGATCTCTGTCGATCGCCACCAAGGTGCCTACACTCTTTTGTATATTGAACCAATTGTTGCTGATGTAGGATCCTGCAGGCAATGGCCTTGTACCAAGGCTTTCTCGGTTCAGAGGCTACCCGCTTTCCGGGTCAAGACACCGTCGATATACACTTGACACATTGGAGGAACCATCCTGTCCGTCCCTTACGCCAACGGACGATCGCCCTCACCCAAGGGATGTCATTCATCTCGATCGAACAAATGCTCCCCTTCGCCAATCCCGCTGGCGGGCCACCCGTCTGGTCATGGGTGCCATCTTTGACGTTCACCGTCGCCGTCCAGCTCTGGTGTATTGGACCAAGTCAACCCGCTTTGCCTGGTTTGCCGCTAGTGAGTCAAACAACTTTATGGCTTTTGGTACGAAACTCAACCCTCTCAATAGCCCAATCCGGTTCCATATCTCATGCCGCTGGAGGCGGTCTGGTTGAATGGAGCATGGCGCTTCGGGTACTCTCTGCCCTGGGGCTATGATGTCCACGAAATTCAGGTAGCCCAGTTTGCTGGCATGCCCCAACAACTGCAGGGCTTCTTGCACTACTACAAATCACAGCGCCGCATCCACCATAATGTCACCCCCACCATGATCCCGAATGGACCCCACAAATACTTTTTCGTCCTTGCTTTCGGGACGCAATGGAATATGTTTCGTCGTTCGTGGATATGAGTTTCAGGCTAGCTGGTCGGTGTCATTTGTTCTTGTGTCGCTGCTGTTGACGGGTGGAGGATAGTTGGTTTCGATTGTACGATCTTGTATGTAACTACAAATTGAATTCTACAGGCAAGCGGATACTGGTGTAAGCAGTGTATTGTGCTCTCAGGGAACGGCATGAGATTCATGATACGGGTGTGAGTTCAAAGACATCATCTTTCTCAACTAAAAGGTTTCTATGGAATGTGAGCTAAAGGGCGGCGAAGGCGAAAAAATCCCCGATTGAGAGTGCAAACTGAGAGCTTTGATGTTACAGTCTCTTCCGATTTGAAGTGGCTGCCAGACCTCTCGATCTGCGCCAGCACTTGCAAGAAGTGGTACGAACGTTGATCGATAGCTCCAGGCAGAAACCTTTCCCACAGCAAGCACCGTCTACTGATCCTTGGGCCAGCCGGTTGAAGGATTGGCTACTCTGTTCTAGGAGACTAGCGTCGTCTACACCTCACAATGGCACGGCCGTCCCAAGGTGTCGCACCCACGTACATGCGAAGCTGATTCCTTGTAGTCGCGGTACCCACAATGCTATACGCCGCCGGCACGTTCTTAGTCCTACGGAGGAAAGGAAGGGCTGGGACGAAGAGGCTAGTGACCTGCTATGAGTGCAAAGCATGGCCGCAGTGTTCAGTACGTAGTTACACACGGGATCGTATATCATTCGTCTGACACTCTCGACCCTTCAGCATCTCCCACCGCGTAAAGTGATGTCTTCCGTACGATTGAAACCTTAACTTCTCGTCTCTCTATCCCGCCCTCGGTACACAAGTTGTGCGGCGGCAGCATCCGATCCAACCGCTTGTGTTCGTAAAATGCACTATATATGTCTGGCTTCAATCCTGGGCCGAATCGATAAGTCGATGAAAGGCTCTTCAGCGGTAAATAAATATGCAGTTACCTTAGTGACATCGAGGACGAGTACGAGATCGTTGGACAAACGAAGTTGGGCGCAATGGCCTTGAACCCACTCCACGGGGATCTCCCTGATGACCTTTGAATAGGATGTTGAATAGATGGATGCTGGGAAGTGTGGAAAGCGCTCTTGTATGTTCGCGACGGTGTGAGGCGCTTCCAGTTGGGGATATATTGCGAGCTTGATATGGCCTCCGAGAATGTATATCTCAACGATCTTGGCTGGAAACCCTCGTCGGCGAGAAGTCCCACTGGATTCGGGAGAGACCATGATCAAACTATTACCAAGGTGCTGTGACTCTCGTGAGAAAAATACTCCGTGGCGCTGGATTGTTGGACGTGTTGGCAACTCGACTTTCCCCGTCATGTCTCGAACAGCTTCGGATACGGCCTTCACTGTGAAATCCTCCAGATCAGGAGCCGTGTCCTGCTTCTTTCCCGACGCCTTGTCCATCATATTCTGGCACTGTCTGAGTGCAGGAGGACAGTCCGATCGAGCAGCCCATTGTTTGAAACGGCTGCCCCGTGTCCATGACAGCAACATAGTGCGTTCAGCTTCCCCTGTAGATTAAATACTAGTCAGTGATCGTAGTACGACGGTGCAGATCTATAGAAGAACATGTAGACGTCGAACCACTCACCCTTTTTGTGATTATGCGGTATGTCCTGCAACGTTCCTATGAGCCGCTCAAATGGGAATGCCCACCACGACGCGATGGGCCCGTATAGAATCAGGAAATCATAGACGTGAAACACGGCATGATGGTAGGGCAAAAGGTAGCCCGGAAAGAGTTTCTTGATTCCTTCGACGTGCTTTCTAACCTCCTCGCGGTAGTCCTCGGCACGTTGCCTCGTCATAGACCGTTTACTGGCTAATAGACAGAGACAAACCAACGCCATAGCATTCTCTAGAACCGGAGCCATATCCACAGCATCAGCGGAGGCACGGGGCATCCCTTCAATCCAGAGGCTGAGGAGTGCAAGTGGAATGTAGATGGACCAAAGAATTCTCCATTGGTTCGCCTTCAGGTGACCGGCGTTCTTAGATCCGAAGGTGACGGGGACGGAGTTTACCCATGACGGACGAACGACATCACGAATGGCTTCGCGCACGCGAGAGAGGACGGTATCAGAGTCGATCCATGTATGCTTGGGCGGGTCCCTAGGCATAGCCATGCGCTAATGGGTATGTCAGTTGTCGTTTTCGTGCGTTAAGCGTCACGATAAGGAGAGAAAACACACCCAACTCGCAAGAGCCTCAGCATGATCACGCCTAATCACCTTGCCTTTCTTTCCCGTTCCTGCCTTCGGTAAGATCCAGAGGTCGGTAGCTACGAACTCGAGTGCTATTGCACTCTCGTCCTCCATGGAATCCGCCAAGTAACGTTGAGGTGTTCGTCGTGGCGCATTATCGTCCTCCTCACGATCTTTCGCACGGGGCTCGTAAGAGGTGTCGCGCAATCCAGCAGTGAGGCGACGATGAATGGCAAATACGGATTTGCAAGCATTAGCGCTCTTCTGGAGTTCTTCACGGAGTTGTCTGAGCTTCGTCACGCGTGATCTGCCTTCCTCGCCTTGCGGAAGGTCTCTTGAAACAAGACGCCCTCCTTCGTATAAGACATTGAGGTCGAAAAGATGGTCCTCTTCTGCCTCCATCTCAATGTCGTCGTCGTCGTCGCCGTCGTCACCGTCGCCACCATCAGAAGGGCCTGGGTAGACGTTGGAGCTGGTAGTTGGTCGAGGCGGCAGCTCGAAATTGAAGGAGTAGCAGCGTACAGCACGCGGGGTGACAGTACTGTCGTCTCCCGCATTCTCCTTCTTCCCCTTCTTCCCCTTCTTCCCCTTCTTCTCCTTATGAACCAGGCGAAGTGCTCCTATCGTGTACGTTTGACATAACCTAAGGTAAAAGCCGTGCATTCCTTCGGGTACCAGTTGGCGAGGAGGGTCCCACCAGTCCCAACCGTAGAGTTCCGAGTACTGTACACCACGATTGACCCAAATAGAATCCCTCTCGGTGGTAGTGGCAGCGTCTCTCCACCTGAGCGCCCAGGTTCGCAAGTGCTCGGCGTTGCGAGGCCTCCAGCATTCGAAGTCGGTAGCTCCGAGATTTTCCAGGTGCCAGCAATCACAAATATAGCAAAAATAATGGCTGGTGATTTGAAAGAATCCGCTGAGCGTGCGTCCGGCGGGGGAGTCAAGAACGACTGGACCGACAGCGCACTTGACGTTATAACCGGTCCTTGGGAGGTCCCGTCCAGTGTAGCGGATGCCCGCTCGATATGCCTGGTTGATGATCTTAACTATGGGGCGTATGTAGTGCTGAATTTGGCTTTTGTTAGGCTCGTCGGGAATAACGGTGGCAAGCCAATAGTTCGCGGAGTCGTTACGCATCGTGACCGGAAGGTTGAGGCAAGACATGCCGATGGCAGTAGCAGACATGGATTTTCCGTGGATGTTGGCGCCCTCGATTTGGAAACCGTCTACGCTCAGGGAAAAAAGGAGAGCTTCCGAATCTTCGCCTCGTACGTCCATGAACAAGCGACCATCAGAGCCCTTGAGGAGACGCACGTACTGCCCGTCCTGGACGTCAGTCCATTCCTCTGGAGCCGGTCGTAATGCTTGTTCTCGAAAGACTCGAAATATATCTCGGTAGTCCCTTCGACAAACCAAGCTCCCAACGTACTCATGAAAAGATCGATATAGAACGAACTTGAAAGGCTTTCCCTCATCATCGAGTAAAAACGATCCGCATTCGATGCCTGGCGTTTCTCGATTCGTACATATTTGAGGATAAGGAGCCTCGTACGTGCAGTGGCACTGAGTGCACACAGCAAAAGAAATCATGCGTGATGTGAGGTTGAACTTTTTCTCCACGGTTTCGGCTTTTTTGGGGATCGAGTTCAAGGCATGTATTTGCTTCCTCGTAGCTGGACGATCGCCGAGTTCTACCATCTGCCAGCCGAACAATGTGAGTAGGGCAAGGACCTGAGAGGTATCGTCCTGTGACGCGCGAGGTTTCATCCTAAGCCACATCCCCATGAATAAGGCAACCTGTGTAGGTCCGGGCTCCACGTCAACGCTATTTGTGAACAGATGATCTAAAACGGAATGGATGAGAAGAGTATCTTTGCATGATCAGTTCGAGGATACTGACCACAATCCATCACCAACGAATCTTCTATCGATAAAGCATCCTTCGTGCTCTTCAAAAGATGTTCCAGGCCCTCCAATTCCTTCGCTACGAGAGACTTGAGATTCTGAATGAAGGGGCTGCGGCGAGCGATATCGGACATCACTTTCTGGCTAGAGGCGATCGCCACCTCGATGTCATAGATTTCGTCCGCGATCGTGTTGCGCTGCAAGGTATTGAGCGTACCGAGAGGGAAAACGGTTGTTCTGGCTGGATTGAGAAAGGGCGAGGTGAAAGGGTGTCTGTGTGAAAGGGACTCTAAATCTGCTATCCGCTTCATAGTGTCCCGGCGAACACGTTCGATATTCGGAAGGTGCTTGGTGTCCCAATATGTGGGCTCGATCGACTGTGGGGACGTGAATGAAGCGTCCACCGGAGTTGTACCGGCCTGCCGAGGACCGGGTATCGATGAGGGAGATACAGGAGCCTCAGCCGAGGTCTTTCTCGAGCTTTCCATGATATGTACAGCAGACTCTAGTAATTCGGCTGCGAAACTCTGAGGATGTGGGACAGATGAAATCTCGGTGGACTGAGGGTTACCATTGGAACGCGAGTGCCATAGCAGGGTATCCATATCTGCACCGTCTTGAGAGACAGAGGCGCCTAGCGATTGCCAGGAGAGGACTTCGAGGTTCTCGTCCGCTGGCGGGGGAGAGCAGGCATTTCGAGAATCGAGAGACGGTGTATAAAATGAATATTGAACTCGGCTGTCCTGTCGGACAGTTCCGCTCTGGAACGCAGATGACACGGAAGGACTGGATACGAACGAAGGTTCGCAGTGGAGGGAAGGCTGAAAAGCAGCACCTATCGTCGTCCGGTTCATGGTATGCATAGCGAACTGTGGATGAAGGTACGATGTAGGGCCTGAGGGTCTGGGACCCCGGGTCGCGATCGAGTGTTCTCGCCGGAGCTCCTCTGTGATTTGCTCCCTGAAGACACCTTTGTCGATGCATCTGGGGCAGTAACAATCTACGAGCACTTCCGGTCGTTCCGGCATGGCTTACAGCTATGGTCAATATTAGCGAGCGAGCACGATGGGACCACAGAGAGGATGCTTACATTGCACCGCTTGGATTTTGGTGGAATCGGTAGTGAGCAGTCCTCAAGGAGGGAGAAGGGAATTTGAAGAGGTGATATGCAAGACAGACACCACTTATATCGCACCAAGTGGTTGACTATAAGGAGTTGAAAGCGTCCAGAAGGGCATTTCGACGATGGAGCGCAACGCGATGTCCAACGACGTGCCTCGCAGACAATGGTGAAAACTGTAGGATTGTCACCACAATAAAAATAAAGACAATGTCTTTAAGATCAGCATATCGAACAAAGACAGAGGCGTGTTTGCGGTGGTAGAATACAGACAACAATGGTACGAGCGCTGCCTCTTCTGAAATTGAACATAGGCAGATTTAGCTTAATCATTGCGTCGGATGTGCACCATTCTTGGCGAGGGACCGCCAACGAAAGGAAATATTACAGTGCCGTATCATAGCATGACGTCAGTAGTCACAGCCGCGTCGCGTAAGGAAGAGTGGCGATGGTACGTAGAGACAAACATCACGCATCGCACCAATTGCGAGATCTGACCATCTAACTACGAGCGACGTGAACATACACTGACAGCCTCAACTGACAGATGATCTCTTCCTGGCTGAAGATTGAATTGAGACCATTCGATGTATTCGTATAGAAGCCGTGTCCGGTGTAGAAATCTGTTTGATTTGAACAGGCATGTTAACCGGGTGGGACGTTGTATTGAAGAAGATAGGACCCTAGTTGACACCCGTGACGCCAAGGCGCTCTACGCCTGGAAGGCCATTTCCAAAGCGAGCGTTTTAACTGGCACACGCTGCAAAGCGTCGAGTATCCTGCAAGGGTCCCGAGTTAGGAAGGGCTGTGAGGCCAGGGAACTCGATTGCGTTCCAGATCGTGTGTGCTGAATAGGGGTAGATGCCTTGCAAACAAAAGTGTGTTATGGTGAGGAAGATGGGGGAGAACGTATCGAACCGATTGGGAGATAGAAAGGTGATACAGGGCGCGACAGGGTACGCAGGTGTGACGACAGTCGACCGATTCAAGCAATAAGAATGACAGAGAGGACATCAACGCTGATTATGCAGGACGACATCGACGGGTGAGAATGAGCATCTAGCAGGGACATGGCGGGGGAACACATTGTCTGTATCCGGACTACAAAATAAAAAGATCATCTGACGAGGGGGATATCTTCGAAGACAATTACGTGCGCTCCTTTCAGAGTCGACAATCCGGAAGCTGCTTCGCGGATTGGACTTTCGGGGTGGGCCACTGGCTAGAACCGAATCCTATTGAGTACAAGGAGTTCGATGATGGGGATGGTCAGTAAGACGACAAAAATGGCGTCGGCCACGGAGACGAACCTTCAAAATGGTGAACGTACCACGGGCGGAGAGAGCAGGGTCGTCGAGGAGAGAGCTGGCCAGGAAGAGGACGGCTCCGGAATGACGCCGAGAACAGAATGATGGATGTCGTCCGGGGATGGTGAGATCATCGAGCGAGGCCCGGGGCCCCCAGTCGACAATCCGGAAGCTGCTTCGCGGATTGGACTTTCGGGGTGGAGCACTGGCTAGAACCGAATCCTATTGAGTACAAGGAGTTCGATGATGGGGATGGTCAGTAAGACGACAAAAATGGCGTCGGCCAACGGAGACGAACCTTCAAAATGACTGAACGTACCACGGGCGGAGAGAGCAGG